GCAGGAGCGGAAGCTTCGAGTCCAGGTTCCAGTGGCTTGAAACTCACACTGGGCAAGTGTGCATGCCTGCCCATGATCACAGGAGGAGAAGAGATTGTAGCGTGGCCACCCCTCTTGGGGTGATTTCTCACTTTCCCTCTCACTATCTCTGTCCCTCTCTCTCTTTCCACCAAGTGCATGCTTCCTAAGGCCAAAAAGAAAAACTCTTAAAAAAATTAATTTTATTTATTATTTTGTTGTTGTTTAATTGGGCCAGAGAGAGAGAGAAAGTGAGAACGCAAGCTACCAGGACCAAGACTCAAATGGCAGTCAGCCATGTGGGAGTCCAGGGCCTTCACCACCATCCCACCTGCTGGCCACCTTTCCTGCCTTTTTAAAGCCCGGGTCAGGCTTTGTACTCTGACAGGTAGGCAGGGGCTGCCCCTTCCCAGACCAGCAATCTGGGCTCCATGGGGACCAGCCATCTCAGACTGGCGAGCATTGGACCATAGCCAGCCACGCAGAACAGGTTCCTTTTTCTCTCCCCAGTTCAGGCCACAGGAAGGCCAGGCCACCAGTCTAAGCCCCTTGGGGGACGAAGTAGGCTGAGCCATACCCCAAAGGTTTCAGGTGCTTCCTCTGTGTCAACCATCCCCAGAACCACACACACACACACACTCACACACTCCCAGAACAACTAGTCATTTTTTTAAAAAGAAACAGTTATTTAACTTTATTTATTCTTATTCTTATTATTTTAGTTTGCTGTAGGGCACATGTGTTCACCAGAGAGAGAGAGAGATTGCAAGAAAGCAAGCTGCCAGGTCCAGGACTTGAACTGCAGTCAGTCATGTGGGAGTCCAGGGCCTTAACCACCACACCACCTGCTGGCCCCTAACCACAGTCACTTTTTCTTTCAGGATCTCATAGCTATGGTGGACACGTTGGATATTTTTAACTCACTTTATAGAGGAAAGAAAGCAAGACTCAGAGAGAGAGTGAGAGGGGCCCGAGGTTGGGGGCAGCAGTAGGAGGCAGGTGGCAGGCACTGGTCCCCACGCCGTCCCTAGGGACCAGAGCTGTAAGCAACAGCACAGTAATAATGCGCATCGTCCTCCGGCTGCACGGGGCTGATGGTCAGGATGCAGGCGTTGCGGGCCACGTCTGTGGCTGCCGAGAACCGGTCGGGAACGTCCGGGGGCCGCTGGTCTTCCTCCTCCGAGTGGCAGTAGAGGAGGTAGCGGGGGGCGCTACCTGCCTGCTGCTGGTACCAGGACATAACATAGGACCCGATGGTGGCCTGCTGGGGGCTGAGTGTGCAGGAGAGCTGAGCCACTTGGCCTGGGAAGACCAGCAGTGCGTCCGGCTGGGCCAGCGCTGGCTGAGAGACTGAGAGACACACACCCGCTGAGGCCCAGCCTGGGCCTCCTTCCTCCTGCCCTAAGTCTGCCCTTAGACTCCAAAGAGACTCTCCTTCCTAATGCTTCGAAGCCTGGCACCAGGGGACTGTCACTGGATGGGGTATTGGAGGCTGGGTTCTGGGTGCCATCCCCCTTCTCGACAGACCCTTCCCCTCTCAGTCACATGGGCTCTTCCAAACCCTGACTACGGAATAATCACCCCCAGGAACCTCCTGGTCTATACCACCGAACAGCTCAGCCCCAGGCTACTGGGCAAAGGGGACTTTCTCGGGGTTAGGTTGCCTTTGTTTGGGCAGGGACCAGTCCCCTCCAGCCTCCCCTGTAAAAATCTATCAAGGGAGCCAACTCTAGTGTCCTCAGAGACCCCAAAGACTCAGAATTCCAAGGAACCCTACAATCTCATCATTCACCAATGGGGAAACTGAGGCCCACACAGGGAAGTGACTTGGCCTAGGTCGGGGCAGAGCTGCCTGGAGCCAGGTCTCCCCTCTACCTCAGTGAACCTCCAAGGACCTTCCTGGTGATCCCCAAGGGTTTGCTTCCTTGCAGATTTCTGTGATCAATCCCATCCCCTACTGCACCCCCAGATAAGCCAGCCCAGGGAGGGCTCACCTGCCAGAACAGCCCCGGTCAGAAGGAGAGCCAGGTACCCGCAGGCCATGTCCGGGGCAGGGAGGCAGACTGGGAGTCCTTCTTCAGGGCTCGTTCTAGGCGCTTCAAGGCATGGGGCTTGCGAGGCTGCTGGACCACAGTAGGGCATGCAAATCAGCCCACTGGCTGATGAGCGAGGGCGGGGCTGGGGCCCAGGGGCCAGGCTGTCTTCCCAGCTGTGGTGGTCCTGGCTCTGAGAGCCTCCAGAGGAGAACAGGAGCCCTAATGTCCTCATATGCAGTTAAGCAGGGGTCAGAATCTGCCTTTTTTTTTTTTTTTTAGTGGGGCTACAACTGTCATATGGCAAAGTGCACAAATCTTACCTTTATGACTGTACTCCCAGAGGTCTTCATGAGGTTTATGGGAAATGCATATCGCAAAGACCCTGTCTGTGGATTTCTTTTCTTTAAAATGTTTTTTTTTTTTTTTTTAATTTGGGGGGCCAGCAGGTGGTGTGGTAATTAAAGGCACAAAATTCCCACGTGGCTGATCACGTTCGAGTCCTGGACCTTTCTTCCTTCCCTTTCTCTCTCTCACTCTGTCCCTCTCTGGTCAAATTTTAATTTTTTTTTTTTGGAGAGGTTTTTGCTATTGGGCTCATGTGCTCACCAGAAAAGACAGAGAGACACAGAGAGATGGAAAGAGAGAAATCACCCCCCAGGGGGCATGGCCACAGCAGAATCCGTTCTCCTCCATTCTCCTCTCGGGATCTTGGGCACGCACGCACACACGCCCGGCGTAAGTTTAAGCCACCAGGTCTGGGATTCGAACTGCGGTTGGCTACATGAGAGTCCAACAACATAGCCATTACGCCAACTGCTGGTCCCATAATTTAAGAATTCTTTAAAAATTAAAAAAAAAATTTACTATAGGGCACATGTACTAACTAAAGAAATAGAGACAGAGACAGAAAACAGGAAAGTGAGAAAACACCCCCCCGGGGGGGGGTACCAGATCCATGCACACATGCCCAGTGTGATTTTTTTTTAATTTTATTTATTTATTTATTTGATGTTAATTTGACCAGAGAGAGAGAGAGAAAGTGAGAAAGCAAGCCACCAGGTCCGAGACTAGAACCGTGGTCAGCTATGTGGGAGTGTCCAGCTCCTTAACCACCATGCCACCTGCTGGTCCCCCTCAGTGTGATTTTCACGCTGCCGAGTCTAGGATTTGAACAGCGCAACTGGCCACATGGGATCCAGCCCTTTAACTTCCACACCACCTGCTAGCCCCTCAATTTTTTTTGCACCAAAATAAACTCATACTTTTTGTTGGTTCTTTTTGCTGTAGGGCATGTACTCTCCAGGAGACAGGAACAGAGAAAGGGAAAGTGAGAGAGCACCCCCACTCCAGAGGGGAATGGCTGTACTCCAATCCCTTCTCCACTCTCCTCTCAAGATTTTTGGGCACAAATGCACATGTACCCTGTGTGTTTTTTCAAATTGCAGGGTCTGAGACTTGAACCACGCTATAAGCCATGTGAGATCCAGCTGCCTTAACCTCCACACCATCTGCTGGCCCTAAACTTGTGCTTTTAATTCCACTTTCCCACAAACATTTAAAAGCCCCTTCATCTATACACTAAAAACACTCACACATGCACACGCACAAGTACATACCCCTACAATTTCTAGCTGGATCAACAATTTCCAGTTCCTTGGGGAGCAGCAGTTAGCGTAATGGCTATGTCACTGGACTCCCACGTAGTCGATCGCAGTTCGTGTCCCGGACCCGGTGGCTTAAAACTCACGCTGGGTGTGTGTGCGTGCGTGCCCAAGATCCCGAGAGGAGAATGGAGGAGAAGGGATTGCGGCGTGGCCATCCCCCCGGGGGGTGATTTCTCACTTTCTATCTTTCTGTCTCTCTCTGTCTGTCTGGCGAGCGCACGCGCCCTATAGCAAAAACCTCTCAAAAAAAAAAAAAAAGATTTTCCAGTTCCCAGAAACCTCTCAAAGACCTTCTCTGTCACTAGAGGTCTCCACCCACATGGGTAACCACATTCTGACTTTTATCACCAAAAGATGAATTTCGATTGTTCTAAAACTTCAAATATAAATGGAATGATAGTGTGTCTCTTTGTACCTGTTCTTTTCTTTCTTTCTTTTCTTTTTTCTTTTTTTTTTATTTATTTATTTTTTTTTTTTGGAGAGATTTTCACTGTAGGGCGCGTGCGCTCGCCCCATTACGCTAACTGCTGGTTCCCTTTTTTCTTTTTTTTTTAAGTTTGTTTATTTATGAAAGAATGACAGAGAGAAAGAGAAAGGCAGGGTCTCGGGACCAGCAGTTAGTGTAATGGTTATGTCGCTGAACTCCCATGTAGCCTACCATGGTTCAAGTCCTGGACCCAGTGGCTTAAACTCACGCCGGGCGCGTGTGCGTGCGTGCCTAAGATCCCAAGAGGAGAATGGAGGAGAAGGGATTGCGGTGTGGCCATCCGCCCTGGGGGGTGATTTCTCGCTTTCTCTGTCTTTCTGGCGAGTGCATGTGCCCTATAGCAAAAAAAGCCTCTCCCAAAAAAAGAGAGAGAGAGAAAGGCAGGGTCTCATGGTGTGGGTCCCTCTGCCTTAGCGTTCCAACCAGCCGAGCCCACAGTCACCTGCCACTGTGCTCAGTCTGTCTGGTTTCTGCCGGGAACCTGAGACCTCCCATGCAGCCCCAGCTTCTGAGCAGCAGTGTGGCAGCAGTGTGTGCCTCCAGGGCCACGCGTGTGCCTGCTCCTCCTGTTCCAGGCTGACAGTTATCCACCTGTGTGCAACACGGAGGGCTCTCCAAAACGGTCAGGGAAAATGCATATGAGGAAACACCTGGGCGTGGATTTCAATTTCTTTTGTGCCACAGTAAACTCATACTTTAAATCCATTTCTCCATGAACACCATGAAGTTCCCGTGTATTTCATTCATTCAGAGCTATGTGTAATCCGTGGTAGACATACACCACAACTGGGGGCTGGCAGGTGGCATGGTGGTTAAGGGTGCTGGATTTCCACATGGCCTGACCGTGGTTTGAGTCCCGGACCTGGTGGCTTGCTTTTTCACTTTTTCACTTTCTCTCTTTCACTCTGTCCTTCTCTGGTCAAATTTAAATAAATAAATAACGTTAAATTTAAAAAAAAAATTTTTTTGCTATAGGGCGCATGCACTCACCAGAAAGACAGAGACAGAGACAGAAAGCCAGAAATCACCCCCAGTGGGGATGGCCACGCTGCAATCCCTTCTCCTCCATTCTCCTCTCGGGATCTTGGGCATGCACACACACGCACCTGGTGTAAGTTTAAGCCACTGGGTCCGGGACTTGAACCGCAGTCGACTACGTGGGAGTTCAGCGACATAGCCATTATGCTAACTGCTGGTCCCATAAAATAATTCTTTTTTTTTTTTTTTAAGAATTATTTAACTTTATTTATTATTATTATCATGATTATTTTCCAGTTTTATCAGAGAGAGACAGAGAGAGAGAGAGAGGAAGTGAGAAAGCAAGCCTCCAGGTCCAAGACTTGAACCGTGGCCGGCCATGTGGGAGTCCAGCGCCTTTAACCACCA